CAGCTCCCAGAAGCCTTCACCACCACCTCTGCTGGCCAGGATTTCTGGGAGTTGAAGTCCAAGAACATCTGGAGGCCCAAGGTTGGGGACCACTGTTTTAGACAGCTTGGGCCCAAGCCACTTAGGGATGTATAGGTTAAAGCCAGCACTCTTGAGTTGTGCCTGGAAATGGATCAGCAGCCAGTGGAATAGTTGCAACAGGGGAGTTATATGTTCCCTGTAATGAACCCCAGTTGGGACCGACCAGTCAGATGCTTGCAAGGAGAATCAAAAATGGCACAGCTTGCTATACACAGGTCCCTACATCAGTTTGCACCTCCCTTCATGTTTTTAACAGCCGATCAATCTTCTATCAAGGGGAAACAATTTGCCTTGGATAAAAAAAAAGAAGGGAAAGAGACATGGACGCTGATCCTCTATTGTATCTTCATTTGGAACCAGGGCACTCTCCTTGCCACCTCATTTTGGTAACCCTCCACTGCCTGCAGTCTCAGTCACCTTTCTCCTCAGGAAAGAAGTCAGTGGAAGTAATCAGACACCAGGAAACACTCTTTTTGAATGGCTGAAGAGCCCCCTGCCCCCAGAGGACCAATTTGAGAGATGCACTCAAAGACCACATAATTTTTCTGTGAGCACCTGTCTACTTCAGCATCCTTATTATGGATTGCTATAGTGTGGCTAGAGGGTTTTTTTTCCTCAGCTTCAGGATCTGTCCTTCAAGTGAGCATTCAGGGTTGATTTCCTTTAGAACTGATAGGTTTGTTCTCCTTGCAGTCCAGGGGACTCTAGTGTGGCTAGAGGGTTTTTTTAAATGCTTAAAAAAAGCTCTCTCCATGTAGTAAACTTTCATACCAGATGACAATCTGTATCACAGCTTTGTCCTACTTAGGATACAAAACACTTCTTCCTAAAAAACAGGACTTTCTTCATTTGGAGGCTGATCCCATCTAGAATTCTGCCACCTCAAACAGCCACTTCATTTTGGATAAACTGTAATACCACTGTTGCAGAATAATTTTGTACAGGACATGGGGCAGCCAGAAAGACAAATGGCTCGGAAATGCACTCATTCAACTACATCTGGCCTAGCTTTCAGAAGAAGGCAAAATAACTAGCAATTTTGGTCCAATGTCACCAGCTCATCAGCTTCAGAATCTTCCTCTGACAGACTACAGTCATTGCAAAGAACAATGAACTGGCTGAAAACGATTTCCATAAAACCAAATTAACGTTTAGCTTGCATTGTTATAACAACTTTCCCTCAGAGTTACTTTTTTTGTTGTTGTTTGCACCATTTATGCAGAACTTGACTAACAACATAGGCATCTGATGACATTGTTAGAAACAAATGTCCCTTTGTTTCAAACACTAGCCTTGTTTCAGCTGCTAGCTGGTTTTCTTTCTTTTTTTCTTTTACATTTTGCTATTGGGCACTTTTTATCCTATCCAATGTCATAAATATTGGGGGGGAAATCCCATGTCATTTTACAGCAAATCATGATGCCAACAAACAGAAAATACATGTTTCAATTGGCAGTAGATTGGCTCCTTGGGGAAGGGGGGGAAATACTTAAACTCAGGAAATATGTTTATGTGAAATCCTTCCATTTACCATAACCCTAATCCTAACCACAATGCTAACCCTACTGTTATCCTTAAATACACTGGAATTCTCATAGGAGAAGAAAATAAGCTACTCAATTAAAAAAAAAAAGAAAAAGAAAAAGATCCTGGTGCATGAGGGAAATTTTGGACAAATGTCCAACTGGGTAGAATTTTCCCCTTCTGCACATGGTCCTACGGTTTTTCCCCTCACCCTTTTATAATACTAGAATTCGAAATCATCTGCTAAAGATAAACAGTATGATACTAGACAGACATCTTTCCTCAGACAATGCATAGTTAAATGTCTAATGGAAGCTGTAGTGATGTTTGCCAACTAATTCCTGGAGGATGCGATCAATGGCTACTTGTCCTGAAGGCTATATGTTACCTCTAGCATTAGAGGCTACAGTCCTTTCAATCACAATTTCAGGGAAACCATGAGAAGGAGGGTACTACTGCACTCATGACCTCCTTGGAGACTTCTTGTCATCATCCAGTTGGCCATAGAGGGAACAGCAATTATGAATAAGAGAACTCTTTGATCTTTGATCTGATCTAGCATAAGCTGCAATTATTTTCTCCTGTAACAGTTACTCTCTCTATTGACTCCTAAAGGAGAAACAAAAATGACTGCAGTTTGGAATACAACAACAACAAAACCATAATGCTTAGGCCAGCAGTGATGCCATGACTGTAATTATTTCTATTCAGAAAACCAAACATTGCTAATGGTAGGAAGCATAGCTCCCTGGAGATGTTATTGCCTTTGACGCTCACTGCTCCAGTGATGCTAAAACTCACCCTCTACTCTATATTTGACTACTCATTGCTGACAAGGAGCAGGGGCGGATCTTTTTTGATGGATTGTTATGTACCTCTGCTTTGACTGCGTCTTTAGTATTGCTTGTGTTTTCTATTTCTAAGCAGGGTGATTTGATGTCCCTTGTTAATATTTCTATACTTAGTGTTTTTAGCTTTAAATATTGCCTTTTAATGACGTACGTCAGCTTTGTATACTCACTGTTTTGTTCTTAAATATTTTATTTAAATGCTGTAAGCCACCTTGAGTCCTTTTTCTAAGCAGAAAGGTAGAATAAAATATTTTTAAAAATAAATAATGAATAAATCATTCACAGGAAAGGCAGATGTGAAAGGTAAAGTCATGTGGTGGCGCTAGGGAAGAAATGGACGTGTGTGCTTCATGGACATACCCATTGCTTCCTCTCAGATGAGGAAGGAGATTTTTGTCATTCTAGGTTTCCAGACAATGTGAATATGTCAGATAAGGGAAACCTTAGGTCAAAAGACCAGTCTGATGAGGAGACACATAGAGAATCAGCAGTTATATACAGTAGAACTTATGGGCTAAAGCCAACATTAATCCTACCCAGAGCAGATCCACTGAAATCAATGGGGTCTAATTTTGTTGTGACTAATAACGAGTTCCATTCATCTCAATAAGTCTACTTTGGATAAGACTAATACTTAATGTACTTTGGTGGTCTCTAAGCATACAATGCAGGAACACCTTTGAAGCTGGGCAGGTTTGGTCAGTATCTGGATGGAGACAGTGGGTAAAATCCTGTTCTGTAAATTTATGCCACCATAAACTAGATTGGGAACTGGAAACATTTAATTTAAATTAATGGAAAGCTTCCTATTGCCCTCCTTTCAGCTTCCAGGGCTCCCTAGGGCTCCCTTTTGCCTTAGGGAAGCCCTTGGGCACCTCAGAAGTGGTGGTAGGGGAGCCTTTAATAATAGTAAAAAATCATCAGTGGCAATCTGGTGCCAATTTTTCACTATCAAAGGGAGCCCTCAGGAGCCTCAGAACCTGAAAGGGGACAAATAGGAAAGTTTCCATCAATATAAATTAAATATTTCCAGTGCCAGATCTGGGTTATGTGGGCATGAATTTATGTCAACAGGATTTTTCTCAGTGTTTGGTAAGAACTAGGTGCTTACTTGCAACTGTGATTCTTTGAGTGGTCATCTGTGAATTCACACGATTTGAGTTTCTACACTTGCACTGAAGCCAATTGCCTGATTCACAGAGACCACAAAGCAAAATAACAAGTAGCTTAAGTGCAACTTTGGTTCGTCAAGTAATCATCTGTGAATTCACACAATCAGTTTCAGTGCAGGCACAGAGACCCAATTGTGTGAATTCACAGAGACCACAAAGTGGTCCAGTGATAACTGAATTTGAGGCTATCTGCCCAACAGCTAAAGCTGGGCCGAAATTAGGTCATGCAACAGGACAATGATCCCAATGGTTTCTCCATTTTGGCTTTATTTTTGTTAAATAAATCATGACATGGTGTAATATGTCATGTGTTGTTAATCTGAGGTTGTATTTATGTAAATTCAAACCTGCTAAGGACCAGATGATTTAAATTTTGTCCTGATATGTGAAACCATAGAATTGCAAGAGGGTGTACTTTCCGATCCTAGTTGTTTTCAGTTTCATCATGGAAGGCAGACGGGGCAAAACACACACAATTGTTTCAGTAAAATCAGTATCTCACTAAACTCACCAACTTGCGGATTTCACATTCTAAATTCTGAATACAGTCCAGTTTTCTCTTACGGCAGCGCTGAGCTGCAATCCGATTTTTACTGCGCCGCCGAACATCATGGATAAATTCCAACTGCTCTGAGGTTAATTTGTGCATTTTTATCATCATCTGGAAGTCGTTCCTTGGAAGATCTGTGATCTGATCTACAGGAAATGGAAGTTTCACCTGGCCAAAAAGAAAAAAAAGCAGATTGCTTAATAAGAATTTAGAAGCCTCCATAGAGCAATATGCTTTTATTTCAACAACACGTGATCGACAATTTCATCAATATCAGTTACATTCCAAGCAACCTAGAAGCTTGTCAAATTTAAGTAGTAGACTCTCCACGAGTGAAAGTTTGTTTGTTTGTTTGTTCGTTCATTCATTCATTCAACTTATATATCGCCCACTCTACCCAAAGGTTATTACAATTTAATATAAAGTTATTAAATTGTAATAAAAACAGTAACACTAGTTTAACTTTATAGAAATGTTTTTTTCACATATAAAATTATGTTTGAAAAATGACACAAGCTCTACCTCAGATAAGTAGGGTCTATTTAATGCCTGTCCAATTTTGCTATACATCCTAAATTAGAACTATTTTGTTGTCTTCAGTGAGGCTATAGAAGTTTTACACTAATTTTTAAAAGCTGATTGCATTCCCTAATATCTCAATGGAACCATATATAATCCAACTGGATAGTGAGAACATAAAACCTTAGAACAAGCATATTATAAATAAATAAACAAAAATGTTTTGTAAGCATCATAGTGCATTTCAGGTTGATATACTGGTACAAATGTTCAGAATTTATTTATTCAATTTATTTGAACATTTATCGCTCACCTTTCTTTGATAGAAATCAAGCTGAGATTGGCTTATTGTAAAAATATACATCATATTTTTTTGAAAAAAGTATAATAAAACAAAACTGCCAAAATCTATTTTCCAAAAGTGAAAGAACTGTTCTATTATTTACAGGAACAGTTTAATTTTCAGTAATGCTTCCATTATTCTGAAGGGACCATACTGAAAACAGTTAGTCAAATACCTTTTCACGATCACTTACGATTAGAGATGTGCTCTAGCACCAAAATTCACACTCAGTTATTTGGATTCTGAATCACAGCCCTTAGGATTTAGAATTTTCAAACTGACTCCATTAAACTCAAATTGAATACTACTGTATATTGTTATGATTTCTCCCTTTAAAAACAACAACAACACAAAGTGGTAAGACATTTTAAAAGGATTTTCCTGTGTCCTCAATACCTTTCCAGTGACTGTGCCAAACAAAAAAGAATGCACACCAACAGCTACAGTAGCAGTGCCGAGGTATAAGGACATAACTATAATGGGCATACTAATTGAACCTCGAATAGGGATGCCAGATACATGGGTACCAAAAGGAGGACATAGAAAAACAAAAAAGAGGGCAGAGGAGGACATACCATAACCCTCGCTCTCCTCCACCCTCAGCTGCAAACACACAACTCTCCGCATTGTTTTTCAAAGCAAAACAAAACCCTTCGGCGGTGCCAGCTGTACAAAGGCAGGAGCGCTTCAGCACTTTCCAGGCTCCTTGGGAGAAACCTCAAGACAAGGAAGGAGAGTGCAGGGAAAAAGCAGCGGGGGCATCCTGTGGAGGCGGTGGTTTCATGGAGGGCTTAGCCACCCTAAGACAAACTGGCAGGGAAAGTGGGAAAGTTCAGGGAGCAGCCAGGCTTCCCTCCCAGCTGTTGCTGAGCTGGGTTTTTCAGCTGCGCTCCTCCCATGGTGCAAAGAGGAGAAGTCGAGCAAACAGGAAGTGTGGTGGCCATCAAGATGGCAGCAATAGCTGCTGCTGCTGCTGCTCTGATTCATTGGGTCTTGAAGCTGTCTCAGAGGAGGAGGAGAGGAGGAGGAGGAGTTGTTGCTGCTGGCCTGTGGGAAGGAAAGCGCCTGGCTGTGTGTCGCTGAAAGTCTCTCGCTTGCCAGAGAGAAGCAGCCCCAGTCGGTCAGGGAGACGGGTAGCTCCTGCGTCTCACCCATGCATCCGCTCTAAGACACCCACACCCACGAGCGTGACACACCAAAAGACATTTTAAAGGTTTTTAACTTTGCCTGCCGGACGGAGGACATTAGGCTAAAAAGGAGGACATGTCCTCCTTTTACCGGACATCTGGCAACCCTAACCTCGAAAAATGGGAATGCCAAGAGTAAATGCCAACAGCATCAGGGAAGAAGTGGGGAGTGGGCAAATTTTCTGGGCAGCACTGGAAGGCAAACTGGAGCAGCAGATAGCTTGTGGTGGGTGGGAATTTTGCCAACAGCATGGGTACAGCAAGGCTGAGTGAGTGAACATGATATTGGAGTAGCAGTTGGAAGAATGAAAGAGTCAGCAGGAGGTGGTAGCAGACAGAAGCATGGCAGACCTAATACCGTGAGCAGAGTGTGCCATTCTCTCTTACTTAAAAGGGACTTTAGGGAAGCCCAGCAATGGTATGATTATTTTATTTTCCCCTTTAACGGAAATAAGTTTTTCTACACATCCAAGTTCCAGGCATGAGCGATGTGTACCAACAATGTCCTCTGCCTGAGGTAACATTCTCTCACTGTGCACACTAGTTGGTGGGCAATACAACAGTCCTACTGCCACCTTTGCCATGTCCTTCCTCTGGAGAACAGGCACCTGCCATGCTTGTTAAGACACTGTTCCAGAAAGCTTACCCTGTTGTTGCAAGCTGAGGGAATTGTTTTCCCATTAGAAGCTGCTGCTGTGGGTGCAGGCAGCATTCCTGAAGCCTTCCGTAAGTAGCTGCTGCTGTGGGTGCAGGCAGCATTCCTAAAGCCTTCCGTAAGTGCCTAACTCTTTTACAATGCCCACTTTTCACACTGCCTGCAGACTCTACCCAAAGAAAAACAGTGTCTTATTCTGTTACAGCAGAACTAGAGATGGGGTTATTTGTATACGAATATCCCCGCACAGGTGGTGTTAACGACGGACCAGCCCCATGGGGCTGGACGGTCCACTCACCGATCCGCTGCAGATGCCGCGATTCTACCAATGGCTCCATTCACCACTTTTGGACCTTGCAGCATGGACGGTCCACTCACCGATCCGCTGCAGAAGCCGCGATTCTACCAATGGTTCCATTCACCACTTTTGGACCTTGCAGCAGGAGTGGTGAGTGAGATGGGGTTATTTGTATACGAATATCCCCGCACAGGTGGTGTTAACGACGGACCAGCCCCATGGGGCTGGACCATCCTTAACACCACCCGTGCAGGGATATTCGTATTCGCATATGAATACCCCCATCTCTAAGCAGAACACAAACACTTCTATTGAAAATCACACATGCACAGAGATACAAAATTGATTAACTTAATATATCCGTCAATATATAACAAAATCCCAAAGGAACCTAAACCTAATATATTTCCTGATATAATATTTAACAACATACTAATCTATGAATCTACTAAACCTAAATTTTAATTCCTAACTCTATTAAGTAAACAATATACAATGAGATGCAGAGAATGTCAATGTTAAGAGTTCAGAACAGGACCCAGAGAAAACTGCTGCAGTGCAGGACTGCAATATGCACGGGATTTATAAACAACCATGCCCACTTTTCAGTTGGAAAATGCCAATATATATAAAAAACAACTTCTAGTGTCTGTGACTGCTTCTAGATTTCATACCGGTAGACACACATAATTTACAGATTTTGCTCTAATCTCCATCCCCTCCTTTGGGAAACCCATGCCAACCCCAATCAGGATACAGTGTGTTTTCTGCCCTCACTACCCTTGGTGCTAGAGTGTCTTTAAGTTTCATTTCTCTAGAAATCACTCCAGAATATCTGAGAAATAGGTTTCACTTTCATTTCTTTCTCTAGCAAGCAGAAATCTGGCCTTTCACTTTCTAAACTATATGAATAAATAAGATTTCAAATATTTGGAATTATTATTACTAATACAAATACTTTATTGCTTTGTAATCAATCAGGCTATATGCAAGAACATGGATTAAACCAATCTTCAAAACAGGAGTTGGCATTTCATTCAAATATATATAAAAAAGCATAAAAAGATAAAATAGTAATAATATAATATAATAATAATCTAATTATTATTATTATTAAATTACAGATACTTAAAACTATCAAATTCAGATTTTGATACAGTATATTCAGAATTATCCATACACAATATTATTTGGTGAATTCTGAATATTTTTTAATCCAGATGCCTATCCCTACTTGCAATATAGCAAATAACTGGAGTGTATCACAAACACATTTATGTTAGTATTCATGATGACCAGAAGGTGGCACCAGGCATTTAAGTTACATACCAACAAAAGACTATGTTTAGGTACAGGTAGCAGAAGAAGACAGAGCACAGACGGAGTTCTGACTCCAGTCCTTTGAAGATGCTGGTGACAGAGACTGGCGAAACATTAGGAAGAAAAACCTGAAGAACACAGTCAAGGAGCCCAGAAAACCCACAACAATCATCGGATGCCAGCTGTGAAAGCCTTTGAGAATACAGAAGAAATAAACCTTCCATGTTCATGCACCAGTTTGCGTGCTCCTTAGGGAAGGCTTCCTTTACATCTGAACTTGCATTTTAATGCCTTGCATGTGAATCCACATGCATGGAATCCATAGGCATGTGGAGATAATGACTATTCTTGTATGAACATCTCCAGAAGCCAATGAAAAAAGATATTACAACAAACATTGCAAAAACTCACTAATAATTTGGCATTCATCATAATGAATTGTCTCTACACAGAAAACACAGCTGTAATTATTTTCTTCTATTTCTTTGCCTATGACATTCTTCTATTTCTTTGCCTATACAATATCTTTCCGCCCATTTTATGCAGTGAGACCAAACTAGGGTACCATTTTTCAAAATCTAGGAACTTAATTTGCATATTTTTCCTAATTATGCTACGTGACAGGCTGCACAAGGGTTACATAAATACACAGGTGCTGATTTTTCTGTTCAAAACAATACTTTGTTTAGGTGTGTAGCCTGCAAAATTACATTTTAAATCACCCAGGAAGTGCTTTAAGCCCAGAGTTTTACTCTGCTACCAAGAGAACATTCATCATTTTGCTTTCTCACTTCATAGAGACATTGGAGGCAGTGGCATGTCTATGAAGAGATCCCTTCTCATTGT